TAAACGCTTAAATCTGTATTGTTACCTAATCTGAATTTTCTAGAAATCCTCCGCAGCCTACAAATATAACCAACGCGACGTGCCAATAGAGAGTATCTATTATTAGTTCGCTGTAGTCAGTGTGCTATAAACTTCGGAAGATATAACTGTGATTGTTATATCGCTTATCAATCGGAAAACTTCAAATATTTGGCCAGGAATATTTATAAATTTCGAACATTATAAACCATTTAAGTTCAGTAGATTCACATCGGACATTAGTACTTTTACGAAAACATTACCTAACGTCATCGGTGGAAACTCAATCTCTAGGCGTATGAACAGTGAAGACTACAGGGCTAGCTAACTCCCTGTTAAGTGAATTGTGCCTACGTCAATTAGAAGTTAACTCGTTCATCGTGAACCCTCGATAAGATATTGAGGAAGTTCCAGACTAGAAAGAAGACTTTATATTGCTTGTAAGTTTGTGAAACTTTTGTTTATAAATCATTGTGTGTAATAACTGTTATTGTAAATTGTATTGTTGTGTGTATATTAAAACGTATATGTGTTAAAAAAAAGAAAAGAAAACTGCGTGTATCAATCTTGTTGGCAAAATCTCTTCCGTCGTATTTTAAGCCGTTACCGTACATTAGTTCTAAGAATGTCCAAGAATGAATATCAGAGCTTCTTGCTGGCCAGTCTATGGCATCTGTGTTGATTTTTTTTCAATATAGTACATGTCAATCTTGGCACTGTGATACCGTGTATTAACCTCTGTCAGGACGGTTTGTTCCTATTGTACCCACAAAGTATAGCAAACTTAGGTTCAATATGAGGTAAATATATCACAAAGCATTAAATCTTTCTCTCGGAAGCACAATAAGAATTATTCACGAACAAAAAAATGTTCGCATTCAATGATGTTGCGCTTAGCATCCTACTATAATTTGAAAGACTTTTGCATTTGGACCTGTCAAACACATTTTAATTAACTAGTATTGGTTCGTGATGTGTCAAGAGAATGATATTTTTATTTTAAAATGCATAGATTTCATAGCTCCAGTGGTGGCTAAATATTGATCAGTCACTGTGGATGGCCACTAGGAGTAATGATGGAGACTTCTCCAGTTTTATCTTTCATTACATAGGATATACATAAATTCTATATACTTTCAGTCATTACTGGCATACTTAGGACAAAAACAGAAATACTATTTACATTCATAACTGGTTAGACATCAATTCTACAATTGCTATAAAATCAGTACATGATTTGTTAACTTTCATAAATATAGCACGGGTGTATCTGCTAGTATCGTTATTTCCAGACAGAAAACAAACAAACATAAATTCATCTACGAAGGTTACAGGCACACAGTATGCTTCCGATAATGATTATTTCAGCAAAAGATCAAATAAGCTGTTGATCTACTACAGTGTTGAACCAGGTCTCTTTGACCTTAAGCGGACCCACGAAATTTTAATTCTAGCTGTTCTTTTTAACTTCACATTGAGTCCACGATTATTGGACTAGCGGTTCCTAATAGTCATGATGTCATCACGCGAGGTAGTTGACTTTCCACGACTTTTTATCACTCTGTCTATTGTGTCAAACAGTTACCTAGCATGAGGGGTCTACAATCTTATCATGACGATTCTTTGACCTAGATATAAGAAGATCTAATGTTTGTCTCTTTTCTGTCCAGTTTTTAATATATGAACAACACTGACAGTCTGCATTTCTGTCACAAATTTACAACTACCACAGCAAGTAATACTGTCTTACATTTATATGAAAATAATCGCTAAAGATGAAGGGATCAACAAAACATCAATATTCAAATCTTAAAATGAAATGAGCAGGTGCAAACTGCGTCAATTCAGACATGCATTCCAATAACAGTGTTCGTGAAATGCACGATAACTAATGATTCACTGGTTTTAAGAACTACGTTCAGAAATAAATTTTCAAGAACGTATTAAATGATTGCCCTTCTAATTTTTATATATTAGTTCTTGACTTAAACTGAAACATCAAAGTAAAAGTTTATTCCTATTTCTAAGTGATTTATCGGATAGAGACATCAATAAGTATTTCGGATAAAACGCATTGAAAATTACACGCACCCTATACGTAACGAGACGCACTGACGTCACCATGGAGGAAAGAAAGTCACGTGAGAGTTTTTACTTATTTTGCTGATATTGATTTTTCTATATCTACTTTGACAGGATCTATACTTAATTTCACATAATACTTTAAGGACACGAGTCAGCCATTATTTCGGATCATGATGCAAGTTTCCTGTCTTATGGTTCTCCACTAAAGCACGAGTGGATCGATCACATATGAATATTCCAAATATTGAAAGACAATTAAAATGGGCTTGCCCATCAAAGAACCAAACTATGTGGAATGTCTTGTTAATGTATAAGTCAATTCTACAACCACGTTAAAGCAATATATCAGTCATAATGTTTTAGTGACTTGAGAGGCATGAAGTTAAGAGCTAAGTAGTCTCACAGTAATGCATCAAGGGATTTAGCAGCCACTATGATCGAGCCTCTCTTTGAGTGCTAGAAATATAAGAAAAGAACACGACTTATTTGTTTCCTCTAGTAAATCCACCTTGATAATAAAACACATAACTTTTGAGTGGCAAACTTTCCCAAATCTCTAGACAAAAATACTTATTGTTAAAACATTGACTATTTTCTAGGTCTTAACCTACATTAATCACAACAGAAACATAAAACTTTAAACATCTTGATTATTTTATAGGTGATAAATCTACTGTAATTCTCACAGAAACGCACATCTTTAAATTTTTGGTTAACACCGTAAACCTACCATGACTTTATACATACAGTAACCAACTTCACTAAACCTCTCGAGTTACTTCTGAATATTAACCCTATCATGAATCCAAAAACGGAAAGAAACCTAGATTTCGTTAATTAATTTTAAGACTATTTGTGACTTAAAGAATTACAGAAACACAATTTCTTAAATCCAGCCATTACCTCCTAAAGATAGAACATCTCATGATTTATTAAACAAAACAACAGCATATGCAAGTCGATTTTCTAACTTCTATTGGTATACGTTTGTGACCCGAGAAGCACATTCACCTCTGATTTCGCAGTTTTAGAGCACTAAATCATACGATTCGTTATACCAGAAAGTACTTCGTTAAACCTTTTGCTGTAACTTATGAATAACAAATTTTCACCGACTCGACAAACAAAAAAGAAGCTTTATAAATCAATTATTTTCTGTATACTACACTGTCCATGATTCAATAAATATAAATATACTTCGTTAAATCTCTTGATTAACTTCTGGACAGTAAACTCCTCGTGGCTCACTGGTGCTTGCTTTGGTCGATGTCCAAGTTCGACAGCGACCTGTCGAACGTAATGAAGTGGTCTGATTCGAATAAATATGTCGTGTTCGACTTCCGTCAATTGAAAAGCCACTTCTTCGGGAAAATGTAGCAGAGACTGAAGAGTCTCGAGTTCTCGTTTATAAAGTGTTGACCGTTCCAATCCTTTTCCCTTTTCTAAGTTTTTTTTCTCATCTAAATAATGAAACCAAAGATATTTATAATAAACCCAAAATCTTATAACACCTATCTGTAGCAAGTTGTATAAAGAACATTATCAGACTGACAATCTGACAATTATCTAGCTAAATGAAACTTTTATGAAATTGATCTATAGAGCATACTAATATTTTATTTATGTTTTTAAGCATGACAATGTTGTATTTGAATATATCCTTGTTGTTTTTTATGATATAAACTAAGACGAATCTTTCTGTAGAAATAAAGTTAATACTCAAACGAACAAAGAAATCAGTGAGGAGATAAACAAAGCAGAAACCTAGACCGATAACTGCACAAACACACATATGTACTCGCATATACAAATATACGAATGATTAATCTCTCTTCATATAAAAACGAAGTTCTAGGTCTCGCGCTGACCTTGTAACTACGTCATTCCTCCGCGACCGTGCTCATTCCGAGGGCCATGATTACACTCTACACTCAACACCACAACAATTTACATTGTAACAAACTTGAGAAGCTTTCCCTAGATAATCTACTAGAGTTTGGCTTCCAAGACTAAATTGCATAAGTTCCCGGGGGTGCAAGTCCAGCAACTTCACAGTTATGTTGGGGATGAGGGTAGTAAAGACACTTATTTCATTTTTATGGCGAGTAGAAACACTGCTGTGCACTTAGACGTGTAACTTAGCGTTTTAAACTTATTCTCTGAGCGTTCTGATCATATAGGAATTTACCCTAGCATAATTAGTGTCTATACGTTCTCATGATAGCATCAGATTTCACCTTCGCATTTTTATTCACTTTGTGAATTTGAAATTTTCTATTATGGGAGAATCTTGTGGTGACCTTAAATATCAACGAAAAACGTTCTTTACAATATCAGTATCATACTTGAAAGCCCATCTATTATTGAAATCATTTAAATAACCTAGAACCTCATCCAATGGAAAGATTGCTAAAGAGTACTCCAATAGTTGGCGGTGGGTGATGTCGGTATTTCAGTATATCTTTTGAATTTTGGGTTGCCAGACAGATTCATAGCAACTGTAAATAATTACATCGACTTTTTCTAAATTTGCGTAGATCTTGAGTAGACAATCAGATTACACGACAACTGTAACAAATGACCAAGAATTTTCTATATCCGCTCAAGTATCGGATTATCAAGCAGTTCATATGATATCAGGAACTATTTTCCTAGTTCAATACAGTTGAAATGGATCTTCAGTTTCTTTCAGTTGAGTCGTAACTCTATAGCGTGTGTGCAGATCTGTTTTATTCTAGTCCTCCATCAGTAAGTTTTAAGCTTCTATTCTAAAACTCTTGAATTCCCTTACTCATTTCTTGCTTTTCTTTGCCTGTCAGACGAGAGGCTTTTGCAGTAGTTCTAGTTAACCAGAAGGACGCCACAAGTCAATATTTTCTTTTTTACTTGAATGATGCCCCCCAGTGGCACAGCGGTATGTCTGCGGACTTACAACGCTAGAATCCGGGTTTCGATACCCGTGGTGGGCAGAGCACAGATAGCCCATTGTGTAGCTTTGTGCTTAATTACAAACAAACAAACTTGAATGATGTACGTTTATGGTTGATAAGTTAGTTGTGCCAGAAACCGATAGTTTTACATTTAGCATTAACTGTTTAGCTAATACTTAACATATGAAAATTTTTCCTTATCGGTTGGAAGTTATTTGACATTTGAGAAGATATGATGTGACTGAATAACGCTAAGTTTAACTGAATAATTGTCAGAATAGTATGATTTTGTTCACAACAACAAAGTAGAGAATACTATGTTTATTGTGCAAACATAAGCCCTAGCACAGTATTTCTTTTTCCTTCACTCAAAAATCCACTTTTCTTCCTCGTTATATTAAAAAAAAACTTTCTCACTCATGGGTACAGGGCTCTGGTTTTTAATTTGTAAAGAAAATATATGGACTGAGATCGACGATAGCAGAAACATAGGAATGCGTAGTTTAATAGATAGGCAGTTAGATATTATAAATAGTTCAACACATTTATAGACACTTAGACAAATACATAATAAAAAAATATTAATCCGTACAAATATAGAGGAGTCACGAGAAGGACGAAATATAAATACACGCGTAAACAGACAGACTAGGCGGTAATTAAACACGTCTCCAGGTTTTTGGTTTTTACGACAATAAAAAAAGATTTGTTATAGTTCTAGTGCAAGTGTACAAGACATACAACCTACACAGACATATAGGTATTTACATAAACAGACGGCGTTACCAGAATTAGCATAACGATATGTAAGCCTTTGATAATAGTGGAAAACAGGAATATTGGAAAATATAAATTCTCTTTCGTTTTGCAGGAAAAAAATCTCTTGTAAACATACGCAAGCATTTTTAGTTAATTTCAGTTTTTTAAAGTCCAAAATAGATTACTGAAAAATAGTTTATATTTATAAATAAAGAAAGAGTGAACACGGTGAATATATATCAGGCAAGCGGTTGAACTGCCTATGTAGGGATGGCTCGGACTGTTTATCGAAAGAGTATTTTAAATGTCTCCTCAATAGATAATCAAAACCTTACAATACTATACATTGTTTTATTTCATAACAATAGCTATGTAATGACGGAGCCAGAAGTTCTGGGAATGTCTGTAAATATCATAGCAAAAAGTTTGAATTTCTTGTTCTTTCCTCTTCTTTTTTATTACATGATAACTCAAAAACCAAATCAATGATGTCAACCAATTTCACTGAAGTGACATAGTTTCAAACGGAGTATCCGCTTGTATACGTATTCTTAACTAGTAGTAATTAAAAATAATCATAATTCTAGTGTAAACGATGTTAATATTACCCCTTAAAGTTAACTTTCTTATAGAAATTTTGTGTTCCTTTAAAAAAGCATAAGTACAAGGTGAAACATGAATTACCAGGCAATAATAGATAAGCAATAAATAATACAGTTGGAACCTCGTTTTATTTAGAACTTGGTTATAAATACAACCTATCTATATCTATTGAAACACTTCATTAAAAAAACAAGCAAACATATAAAGAAAAACCTTTTCAAAAATGGGAAGTAAACGCAGGGATGGCTAAAATCAATCCTTCAAAAATAATGCAAACAAGATAGTAGGGATGGCACGTGAAGTAACATATAGCAATATATATAAATATTCAATCACAATTGAGTTTAATTTATTCTATTTTGTCTCTTAACATTCTACTACACTTTACGCCTGTGCGATTATGTAGGGATGATGCAAATGCCATCCCTATTATCTTGTTTACATTGTTTATAAAAGATTGATATTAACCATCACTTCATTTAATTCCTTTCTTGAAAAGTTTTTATTTACATGTACAATGATAATGTGAAATATTTCTAGGTTGGAAGCTAATTGTTTATTAACTTGTTTGATTTATTTCGTTGGTCGATTTATTGTCGACTCCACTTGTTTACTAACTGAGTGATGTATTGTTGATTCCACTTGTTTAATAACTTAGTGATTTATTGTTGACTTTACTTGTTTACTATCTGAGTGATGTATTGCTTTCTCGCTTGTTTTGCTTAAATGACAGATGTAGGAAGCTATTACTTGTTTGATTGCATTGGTTAATTAAATGAATATTTGTTTATTTGAGGCTATGATTGGTTTACTTGCCAGCTTGATCCTCGGTAGTAATGACGTGTTCAACTAGAAACCGAGAGTCTAAGTCTTGAATTATTTCCCATAACAAAGAGCTAATACACCGAAGTGATGCCTGAGAGGAAACTACAAAGGTCCACTTGGTGTTTCTAAACTCGAGAACGAGACGATCTCGACAACGCCCTCCGCCTGCTCGCCATTGTTGAAGATCTGTCGTCGCCTGTGAACGAGCTGGAAGGAGAGTCTTCATATCCAGCAGCACTATTCGTTCTTGACCGATTCCCATCAATCTAGTGGCCTGAAACGTTGTGAAGGAATGAAATTATCAAGAGGTCAATCCCATCATATGGAACTAAGACTATCATATCTATATCTTTAATATCAGTGGCTAATAAAACATGCCGTTGCTTAGTGTAAGATTTTAAATAGCGTCTGGTTATCTAACAATTTCTTGATGATAATGGAATTTATCACCAACCTTGTACTACTTACCCGTTTCTTTGTTTTCCCTCGTAAAAGCTCTTTCACTTGGAACATTTGACAACCGTAAGAAGGGAGTCGTTTACATGTCTGTGTGTAGAGTTTTTTCAGATGAATCTCACTTTCGTATAATGGAGAATGGAAGAGTTTTCGTTTTTGTTCCTAATAGAAAATGAGGTAGGAGGTCAATGACAAAGTCAAGAAAAAATCAAACAACTCTATATATATCATGTAAGAAAATGGTGAGATATTTCCTAGTATTATTTTATCTTTAATTATCATGAAAACAAAGAAATAATAATGCACCAAGGCCCAAGAAAATCTACTGATAATATGTAATGCTAACGAGATGTGTATTACTCTCTTTGTCGAGCGAGTTCCTAACCTCTAAATTACATAATTACTTTATAATCAAAGAGAGAGAGAGATCGTGTTTACAGGCGTTTCATCTATAACTCGCTGCGAAACGTTATTATTAACGTGAGTTCCTGTCTGCGAGAGTGCTCAAACTGTTAAGTGAAGCGAAATTTTCAGGTTTTGTGTCAATACAACACAATAATGCTGGGAAAGTATTGTGATCGAATGGGTTTCTTATACATAAAGCTGCTTAAAACAATTATAATAAAGCCAGTAAGTTATTGAGGACAAATTCTAAGACCTCTAAAGTAGATGAGACTTGCAAAGCATCATGACTTGAAATGCATAAAATTGATACAAAAATCTTCTTATACTATTAAAATTAACTTTAGAAAGTCAGGTATAAGGTTAATAATACAATTCAGGAACAACACAACAAGTGTCAAAATACTTAACATTGAATAATACTAGGTGAAGTTCGAATAGCGAAACTAGAATCGCAAGTTATTTTTCTAACGAATAATATATTTTCAGAAAGTTTTCAAACAACACAACAAGTGTCAAAATACTTAACATTGAATAATACTAGGTGAAGTTCGAATAGCGAAACTAGAATCGCAAGTTATTTTTCTAACGAATAATATATTATCAGAAAGTTTTCAAAATATCATTGAATAAAACTATCAGTTCTCAGAAAACAAATTAACTGATGTTGTTTTTTCACTCAGGTTTACCAACCACTTAATATAACCGAAAATCAATAATAAGGTTTTGACAAAAATTTAGATCATATTTTAGTTCTTTACCTCAAGAAGCTGCTAAAGAAGGTTAATTAAATCAGTCTTTACCTTTATTAATTTAACCATATTCTTTGTTGACCGATAAACGGGAGGTACACAGTCTTGCAAACTAATATCTGAAACACAAACGTGACCTCCTTCGGTTGAGTGTTTAAAAGTCTTCAAACCTCCAGAAAATTTAGCATCAGGAGATATTGTAGCTACAGTTTTATTTGTTTCCCGGTAGGCGTCGCCTGCATCAACAAACTTGTATTCCTCATAGGATCCCCATCTAACGTGGTGCGGTGAGTGATGAGAATTATACGTATCTAATGCAGTATCTTCCTAGATTGTGAATTTAGAAATTGGAGCAATAAAAATTACTTTGTTATATGGAAAGCTGTATTGCAGACAATTTATACAAAAACTCTTACAGATCTGAAAACGTATGCTTTTTGAGAGAGAAATAAAACAACAGTAAGTTTTTCAGTTCTATATTTACATTTTAGAGTGTAAACGCTTTTTTATCTTAATAATAACTTTGTGGACCTTTCCATACTAATAAAATGATAATTTTTTGTCCAACTGGAGACGTATAATCAATTGATATTAATTGTTACAACAGATTTTAATCGGAGAGAATTAGATCCTGAGTGAGATAAGACAGCATATAACTAAAACTACCTCTGCGAAAAGAATGAAATCAGTTATGAACTGAGACAGAAAGCGGATCTTAAAACACTTCCTCAATGGAAAACCTAGTTCAGCTGTATACTAACTTAGCTGTCACTAGAAAGACTAAAATTATATTATCAGCACGACTGATGAGCAGTTTTTAAATAGACTGTTCAGTAAAAACATGGATGCTACTTTAAAATAGCTTACCGAAAATACTTTCAACAGCTGATCAGTACAATTGATGAGCACTTCTTAAAAATAGTCCAGTGAAGAGATTTAGAGAAGATGTTCAGTAAAATCATGGATGCTACTTTAAAATAGCTTACCGAAAATACTTTCAACAGCTGATCAGTACAATTGATGAGCACTTTTTAAAAATAGTCCAGTGAAGAGATTTAGAGAAGATGTTCAGTAAAAACATGGATGCTACTTTAAAATATGAAGAGACAATCCTTAGCTGATCAGTAATATTAATTAGCAGTTCTTAAAAATAGTGCAGTAAAGAGATTTAGATAAGCTGGTAAACAAAACTGATTAGGTTATACCACTGTGAAAAAAAAAATTCAATGAGAAAAGTAAGTTTTTTTTTCAAGAATAATAAATGGGAATAAGATAAGACAATGAGTCAGATGGGTGGGTATTTGATGAAAATGTCTTAGCGTAAAGAATTAGATCAGTTATTTATTGAGGCTGAGAAATTCAGGGAAGAAAATTCAATAAAATGTTCGGTGAGACGGAGGACTATATCTTTAAAATAGTTCAGAAAAAATCAGCTGATTAGTGTAACTACAAGTAGCTAAACAACGAATTATATCAGTAATCTCAGGAAGTGATTATCAGTTCTTAGAAAAGATCAGAGGAGACGACATAATTAACCATATTACATATATATAAGTGAAAAACGTTTTGTATGACAAAATAATTGCTTGAGAAAATTCGTTTTTTATATGCGATATTGATTTGATTTATGAGTTAGATTATAAAATGTATATTTAATTATGAAAATGGCAAAGTTTTGATAATAATTTTTCTTTAAAAGCAGAGATTTATGACAGTCTTATTACTCTTCTTATAGTAAAAATACTTATATAGATTTTTCTTTTTCACATGTCACATAATTGAATCGTTCTAAAGTAGCATATTTTGTTTTCAGTTAAACGTACCTTTGAGAAGAAAATTAACCCCGAGGTCTATGCATTGCAGAAATAATTGGATGTAGAAATCTTCTTCTACTCACCTTAATGTCTTCTCTGATTGGTTTAAGTAAAGTTTCACATGCATCAACCGGACGTGGCCAAGTTCCTTCTAATCGAAGTTGAATTCCCGCCAGAATAGCAGCTTCTTCCTTAGAGCACGGGAGATAACCTTTCACTACCATCTGCTGGAGCTTAAAAAAAGGAAATTGCCTATTATTTACTATCAGAAATATGACTTGAAAGTGTTTACCTATTCCAAGGGAGAAAGCAATGCTTTCTACATACAAAAGATGTCCTGAACTAATATCACATTAATAATTAATTTGCCATAAGCTCCAAGACTTTTCTCATTAAAGTAAATCATAATTTGACAAAGTTTATAAAAATGGTTATTACAATTTTATTCAAATATGTTTAACAGCTAATCAGTGCAATCGCCAAAAGCTTGATATACTAAATAAACAATATATTTTACCATTGAAGAAAAAAAAACCTCAAAAACAAACAAAACAAAAAGCCTAGCAAATATTTAGTTGGGCAATTAAATAAGACTGAAAGAAATTTCAAATTTAACAAATTAAAACAGGTATTGTAAAGGTTAAATGACTACCTAGCTTTGTTAGAAACTGGGGGGGGGGACAAAAATCTAAGTCAGTCTAACATGGTTGTTAATAATAGTGTATAAGCTAACTGGAAAAAGAACACGTGCCCCTTCTGCTCTATGTTAGACCCTTATAATATAATTACAACATTAATGCTAATTCACTGCTCATGTGGACAATAGAAAGTATGTGTAAACTAATGACATTTTTACACGACAAAATATAAACACTGTAATGTGAGTGTAAAAAAATATATTATGTAAGTAGTCTACATAATAGGTATTTTACACGACAAAATATAAACACTGTAATGTGAGTGTAAAAAAAATATATTATGTAAGTAGTCTACATAATGACATTTTTACACGACAAAATATAAACACTGTAATGTGAGTGTAAAAAAAAATATATTATGTAAGCAGTCTACATAATGACATTTTTACACGACAAAATATAAACACTGTAATGTGAGTGTAAAAAAAATATATTATGTAAGTAGTCTACATAATGACATTTTTACACGACAAAATATAAACACTGTAATGTGAGTGTAAAAAAATATTATGTAAGTAGTCTACATAATGACATTTTTACACGACAAAATATAAACACTGTAATGAAAGTGTAAAAAAAATATA